CGTGCAAGTCCACGCAAACGTTTGGCCACCACCCCTTTAAGGGGCCAACGCTGGAGGAGTCCCTGCAAGAGCCTCAACCTGGTGCACCTGCCGCTCCACATGAGCAGCCCCACGGCCAGAGCCTGGCGGGGGTACAGCGCAAGAGCTTGCAGAGGCCAGCGCAGAAGCGTGGGGAGGCGAGTGCCTGGCCGCAGCTTTCCCAGCTGCCACCGCTGAGGCCGTCCACGGCGATGCAAGGGGCCTCCGTGCAGTCCACCGGGACCCCCCTCGGACGGCCCGAGGAAGTGCTCCTTGGCAATGCCACCAACCCCGTGGCAGGAAGCCGCTCCAATGGGCCCAGTCACGGCCCTCCAAGAAGGCATTTCCTGAGCAGAGACGCTCTTGCTTCTGCTTGTACATTCCCCACTTGCCGATTTCTGATTTCCTGTTTTCTCTGGGAGAAAGGCCATTCAGGACACATGAAGAGGGAGCAAGTCTGGAAGCGTCTCAAAACGGCGTCCCGTTCCTAGCAAGACACATTCCTAGCAGCTGCAAAACACGCAAAGGCATTCCCTTGTAAGACCGTTGTGGTTGCACTTTATACCTTGTCACAGGTGAGCTATCTCCGTGCATCCATCATCCAGGTGGGCATCATGCCTCTGGCTGGCTCACCTGGAGCAACGGCCCACGGAACGGCTCCTCTGCCAGCGGCCCGCTCAGCTGGCTGCAGAAGCAAATGCTCCTTACGCATAATAATCACACCAGGGGGGCATTAAGTGCTTCTTATAACAACCCTCCTTTCCAGCAGGCATTTCCTCGCGTGTCGCAAATCAAGCCGTATTTCTCTGCCTATACGACACAAACAATTTATCAACCTCTCAGCTTAGATTTACTGGATAATGCTAATTAATGACCTATAGCCCCAGAAGGCAAGTGATTGAACGCTGCAATGCAAAAACCAGCGGATACTCAACATTAACCTGCAGGTTGAGAAACAAGGACCTTCAGCTCGGCTGTCCCCACTTTGTACTTTCCAGGTGGGCTTCTTGCTGGAACGGGGGCTGCAAACGGAGGTTCTCTTTTACTGCTTTGTGTATCTGATGCTCTGATTTCTAAGAGGAGCCGGATGTGTTGGAGTGCCATTGGCATCCACCTTCCCTTCCCTTCTTGAAACAGCCGACGGCAAGGAACCAAGAAAAATGGTGGCTTTCTGAGCCCTCCCTCGCCAGCTTCCAGTTGCAGTGACGGCAACGCTTTCCAGGGCTATATGGCAGCCCTCCTGGCGCAGGCTGGCTCTCCTTCTGCACAAAGACCTTCAGCGACAGCAGGTGCCCCCACAGAACCTGTGAGGTGGCGCAGGGGCTCCCAGGAGGTCTCCCCAGGGCTGCGCCACATGCCCTGGCTGAAAGTCAAGGCAACCGTACCGTCCCGGCTGGGAGGACGCAGCAAAGGCAAAACATCCCCGACCCAGGTCAGAAAGGACCCAGCCTGCCCTCCTCGTCCAGGTGAGCCCTCCTGCGGAAGAGTTTGTGTCCTGGTAGCAGCCAGAAGGCAAAGTTCAAAGCCAACTGCCAAATTTGTTCACTACGTCAAGCGCAGATTGAATGAAATGTTCACTACAAGCTCACTGTGTCCGAGTTATGCCCCTGCCCAACCCCAAGTTATGCCCAACCCTGGATGCCCGACCTGAGATCCCAGGTACGTTCAGGTAATGTCAAACTCCTCATATCCCCCTGTCTTCCCAAGCCTGGCACCCCCGGCTGCCATGGAACGGTGGATGACAACGCAGACATACCTGATGGGGGCTTTGCTGGCAGGGGATGGTGGGAGTGGATCTTAAACATCCGGAAGGCGCCACCAGGCCCGTCTCACCGAATTTACTGGGATTCATCCCAGCGCACTTCCCTGCCCACCCTCAGAGTTTGGGCTGTAACGGTCTCGGCGCAGGACACCGTTTCTGCTCAGTCAGGCACCTGAGCGCATGATGCAGAGCAGCGATCCCAGTGGCGTCACCATCGAAGCAGGCGATGCCCCAGGTGCCGCCGTGCACCCCGGTGCTCTGGAGAAACGCCCTCTGTCGACACCTGTGCCGCTCACGCAAGCCGGAGAGGAGCCGCCCAAGGGGACACCTGCGCTCGCACAGCCCAGCCCCCTCCTGCGCTCGCAGAGCACGTCACGTATCTCCACTTTCCTTTTGGCGGGTCAATATTTACCCGCCCATCTTGCTCACGCATGCATCGCACACAGCTGGCCAAAGTTCAGGGGCTTTTCCGTACTCATTTTGGTGAGGAGAGCCGAGGGATTTCTCCTCACCTGCGGCGAGGAAAGGGGGCGTGGTGAGGCCCAACGCAGTAATGCTGGCTGCGGGGAAGCTCAGTGCCCTCCCAGATCCAGCAAACCAAAGCTGGGTTAGAGGACAGGGTAACCTGGGGCAGCACCAGGCAGCTGGGAGAATCGTTTGGCTGACTCCGACAGTCCACGCCACGCCCAGGGCAGGCCGGCACGGGCAGAGTGAGAGAATAGCTCCACGTGGGCATTCAAGCTTTGGCTCGCAGGACGTGGAAATGGTTTGGCTCACCGGACATGGCTCACAAGATGAGAAAAACCTGCACAGGTGGCCTTCTCCGGCTGGGCGCCTGGCCGGGGAAGGATGCTCCAGAGCAATAGGGTACAGGTGAGGTGCTTTCCTGGGCACCCATGAGGCATCGGCTGGGCTGAAGCATCAAGCCCCTTTGACGCAGGGCAGGGCCAGGAGGGGGCTGGCCTGGAAGCCCCACGGCTGCGCCCTCAGTTCCACCACGGAGGAAACGCAGGGCTGCACGACCCGAACGAAGGAGAAGGATAATTGGCGCCGGAGTGCTGGGGCGGTGGGGGTGATGTCCCACACGGATTTACCCGCTCAAGGCGCCTGAATGTCTGAACCGGCCCGGCGGCAAGCTCTATCCTGCAACAACAGCATTTCGGCTTTTCTGACTATGGGAACCTCATTTGTCAAGTATTTGATGCCACTCCTGCCACAATGGCAGCCGCACCTGCCTTTGTTCTGCAAACAACAAAGCAGGTCGCAAATGCCCCAGGAAGCAGGAACTTTGCACCAAGAGAGGCTTTCAGCCCGGTGGGGCAACCGCCACCATCCTGTCCTGCCTGTGAGATCCTGCCTTCAGGTCACAGCCGGAGAAAGATTTCCGGCTCCGAGGCACTGGTCCTGCTGACAGCCGGCACTTCATTTCAAACGTCCAGGCAGACGTTCGTATTTGCTGGTGCTGTTTGGGGAACTCCTGGCATGCCCGTTTTTTGTTCTGCACCTTATAAAACGGGGAATCTGACACTCGGAGGAATTGTGAACGCTTCCCAAATAGAAGCATAACGGCAAACATGCTCCTGAAGACGCGTGGGGGTGCTCAGGAAGTCTTGCCTCTGGAGCAAAGTTTGGATGTGCATGTTGGGAGGCGAACAGCGACCTCTGGCTCACCCTTCGCAGTGCTTCACAAGAGAGAGCACAACGGAGGGGGCCGGGGGGGGGAGTGCTGGCAGCCATGTGCAGAACCCAGCCCACGGAAAGGGGCCCGTTGGCCCAAGCATCCTCCCCTCACAAGCCCAGGGCTTCCAGAGAGGAAAAGGCCCCGTAGGGAGAGGGGCAGAGGCCAGGTGGGTGGGTGGGCAGGCGGGTGGCCAGGACCACCCCAGAGCCTGCCTCGGTGGGGCTGCCTGCCCAGCCTGGACTGGGCCATCCAGAGCCATCTGCCAGCATCACAGCTAATGCCAGCCGTACGCCCACTCACACCTGCAGCCACCAGCAGCTGGAAGCCCGAGCTCCCCGGACGCCGCCTTCTCACATTATCCCACTGAGCCTCAGAAATGCTTTCCTGAGCTGACAAAGCAAAAATGGCTGCTCTGGCCAGTTTCTCCAGTGCTTCGTCAGACAGAGGAGCAAAAATAAGGGGGGGAGAGGGAAGGAGGGGGGGAGAGGGAGGACAGCGGCAGTGTATGCATCCGCAAAGAGGCTGAACGCTCGCCAGGCAGGACACGGGCCACTGCTGTGCGGGCAGCAAGCACACGCCGGCCTGAAGTCGTCTCCAGAGAGGGCCTGCAGAATCGAGGCAGTGCTTTGCTTTGGCTTTGGCTCGGCCTGCAGCACCACAAGACGAAGCGAGTTGCTCCACCCGATAATCCCTGGTGGCAGCTCTGCCTAAAACCTGTTGCTTCCTGCAAGCATTGCGTCTCCGCAGAAGAACTTGGCTGTGCCTCTTCACCCTCCACATGCGTCTGTCCGCACCCCGAATTGTTGCGGATGCACAGGGAAGGGGCCCTGCGGCCTGCCAAGATAATCTCGTCGGCAGAATTCAAGTCTGACAGAAGCAAGCAGCAGCTTGTCACAGTCACCCCTGGTGACCTGAAAAGCATCTTGAGATGCGCCTTCACAAAAGACAGGACCTCTGGGAAGTCTTCTGTGTGATTGCGTGTGTGCACACACACACAGCCGCCTGAAGCAGCTTTTACAACATCAAAGGCCCAATTGTGGCATCGCTACAGAAGCAATTACAATTTCCTTTGTGCATACTGCAATTCTGTGGGATGTGCTCAGACACACGATGACTTGCACGATCCACTTTTATGTTCTTGGGAACGCGTCTCCAACCAGAATTTGTGCTACTTTTGCAAAACCAACGCTGCCACAAAGCAATATGCCTGACTGTGGTGGCACAGCTGTGAAGCCCGGCAAGCCAAAACCAAGTTTGTTCATTCTTACTTCTAAAATACAAAAGGAGCTAGTGATCCATCAGACTATACAGACTGGCATTTACCCAGGAACTGAAGCAGAGAAAACAAACAAGCCCATTGCTGAGGCTTCTTCATGTCGTGCATTTTACAGGCAGGCCACTGACTTGTTCACACGCTGGAAAGGCTCAGTTGAAATGTTTGTAAACATTCTATCACCTCCCGCAGCAGCTCAGAAATGGCCACGGGGCACTTGCAGAGAACAGATCTAAGCAAGGGGAAAAAGAAACAAGTGGGTTTACCTTCCAAGCTCTTCTCCGACTTCGTAAATGTCCTCTACCTTCTGCTGTTTGAACACAGCCATGCCGGGACTCCTCATAGGTGGGCGCTGCTTGATTCACCTGAGAAATGAAAGAGAGACAGACAGGACTCATCTCTGCCTCTGTGCTTCCTGTGGACCAGAACTGCGACCCACCATCGCTTGGGATACTGCCACACTGCTTCGCCCCAGTGTCCCCAAAATAGCAGTCAAAAGGATGTTGCAACATGCAGAGGAGCAGTATTTACATCTCTTACTTAAAATGCCTTCAGGGCAGCAGCCACCCAGGAACTTCCAGGTGTCCAAATTGGACATGCTCTCGCGCAATATTGATAAGTCGCTGTTCCCCAGTGGCTGCTTTTCCTCTTAATCCCTGCACCTGAATCCTTCAGGGAGGGAGGCCGGCCCTTTCGTTGTGAAGCTGAAGCAACAGACCCGGGGAAGAGCTCCCAGTTGGCACCCAGGGGCTCCCAAGGTGGCTCGGGGGAGCGATCCTGGCTCGAAACTGAGCCGCCTGGGGCGAAGGGCTCTGTCTGCCCACCCGCAAGCTGGGAAAAATGAGGGGAGCGCAGGATGTTCCTGGCAACAGTGAGTTACACTTCCCCTTTGAAGGAAAAGTGGGATCTTTTTGGAAAAGGGCAACCAAGATGACCGGGAGACTGGAAACAGAGTCCTACCTGCCAGGAAAGAGGGAGGGCTCCAGGTATGGTCAGTCTTGGGAGAGAAGCGGGGGGCCACAACCAGCCCTCCATCCTCCAGGATGATGGGACATGAGACGGGCTCCGCAGACAGAGGGAGACTTTGGCTGAAAACCAGGAGTGCTCCAAGGGCCGGAGCAGTCAGACAGTGGAGCCAGCTGCCTGCACGGGTGTATTTACCTGTTTGCTTATTTGATTTTTATCCCACCCCATTAGCCAAAGGCTTCCTGGGCAGCTTACAAGCAAAACAATACAACGACATAAAATAATACGCAATAAAGCAGGTTGTGGGTGGTTTTCAAGTGGAGGCTGTCGAGGATGCTTGGAGCAGGAGGCGTGGGCTGAATGGGGTGGCGAGGTGGGCCCAACTCTAGGGGTCCACGGAAGGTGGGGGCCAAGGGCCACCAACTGAAGTTGTGACCCTGCAGCCCGAGGGGGCAGGGACCTGCGCAAGGGAAGGAGTGGGACGAGGTGTCACGCCGGCAAGGTATTGCTCACTGCCGCCACTGGGTCCCCAAGGCCCTCACCTCGGGCCAATCTGGTCCTTGCTCCGCGTGATGGTTACCCACGGACACGCAAGGAACCCTCCCTGCTTCAAGTGGTTATTGAGTCAAGGGGTGCTGGTCAGGGTGCAGGACTCGGGGCCAAGCGCTTGCAAGGCACCTGGGCCGGGCCGGTCGCCGTCTCTCTGCAGGCTGCTGCAAGGATGACAGGGATGGAGCTGGACCACTCATACAACCTGAAGCGCTCTGGGGGCACAGCAGGATATCAGTGTGCTAATTAATAAACAAAGGCCTGCGCCCTCGCCTGCTTCACTCCAGCAGACCTCGCTTAGCCAGCTTGCTTCCTCGCAGCTTCTTTGCTCCTGCCCTAGCACGGCACAGCAAATATCTGTCTGCAGGTAGACACGGATACGTGAGGGTCTGGGCCGACTCGGCTCCCTGGATGCGCTCACGGGGCCTCAGCAGCCAGCCCTGCTTCTCAGCGAGCCAAGTCTCTTCTTCACCGCTCTGCAGATAAGGGCATCGGATTGCTGACCCAGCCGTTATCGATTCCCAACAGCCACAAGCTGTTCCTACTCGAGGGACAATGCAGGACCCGGAGTGCTGCATCAGTGAGTCGTGGGGGCATCCTCCAGAGTCACAGCGCAATCCGGCACCCTCTGGCTAAGGAGTAAGCTCCCCGCTCTCCGCTGGACCAACACCTGCCTAACACACGAAGGACTGCAGCCTTTGGAAGCGCAGAGGTGAACACCGGCGTGGTCACATCCTGCTGGACTGACCAAAAGTCTGAGACCAGGGTGGAGGACATCACTGGATCAGGCCCAAGCCTTCCTCTCATTGCTCGCAAGAAGGGAAATGGCGCAGATGAGGAGGAGGAGGACGTTCTCCTGGCATTGCCTGCCTCATTCACAGAATTTCACAGAGTCCAGATGTCGCGTCTACCCCTTGTAGCCTTCCTGTGTTTTCCCACCACTTCTGGATTTGTGAAACATCCACTAACGCAGGGGAGGGTGACATCTTGGGCCTCCAGATGTTCCTGCCTACAACTCCCATCAGCCCTAGCCAGCAGAGCCAGTGGTAAGAGAACATGGGAGCAACTCCCTGGGCCACGGGGCAGTTGCTCACCCCTGCATGAAGGCGGGAGACGACATTGCTGCCCAACGCTGCTTACGTGCCGATGCTCATCGCCCCCCCCCTCGACCCCCCCGTCATGAGACACCCTCCGGAGCTCTTCTGGGCCCTCCCCGCTTGCTGGTGCCGTGCAGGTGAAGACCTCCTTTTCCAAGGTGCCTCTGAGACGCACCCGGCTTGCCAGCTGCCGGGCTGCGCTCTTTCCTTTCCACCCACCACACGGGACAGCCTTTACTCATTTCCATTTGTCTCAAATATTCTGAAGTTGTTGCCTCTGCGTTCCATTTCGGAATGCACGTTTAGCACTGCCGATTATGGAAAATGATGCACGATTTTTTAATACGATCAGAGAGCCGAGAAGAGAGCCATTTGCTGTGGCACATCAAAGACAAGGCTACTCCTTGGGTGAATTTGGTTCAACTTCTTACATGGACAAGCAGCTCAAGAAAGCAAATAGGAACCATCTCCCTGAAGAAAAGACGAGAGGAAGCACACTGGGACCGAACCGGGGCCAACCACCACGATTCACCAAAAGCGCATTGAAACGGGGAGCAGGCATTGGATCTCTTTGAATGGCTGGATGTTCAGCAGGGCTGAAGCCACAGATGGCACCTGCTGAAGGAGTGTCAGCAGCGAAGCTGATGGGTTCACTCTACCCAACTTCCTGCAGGTTTGTAAGGGCGCAGTTACGAGGTTCCTGGGAACCTTGCTGGCTGTTCCCCTGACTCACCTCTCCAGGCCTTTCAGTAGAACAATAAAAAGCTCCTGCTTCTCGCATTTGCAGAAACCACACAGTAAGGTCTGTGTGTGACTTTCTTTCTAGAGCTGGATTACTCTGCCAGTTTGAGGCAGCAGAAATGTGGAAGCCGCCTCACTGGGGAACTCCCGTCTCAAAGGCCTGCCTGTTCAGGCCGGCTTTTAGCGGCCGCTGGGCGAGGCTTTTCATCCGGCATGGAGGTTCAACTTCTCCTGTGTGGGATTTCTGGTGTATGTTAGTGCGGCCCACCTCAGAAAGCCTAGCCTCACCCAGCTCATCTTATATGCCTACGCATGGCTTTCTGGTGGGCAGTACAGTCACGAGGGACTAGAAACTTGACTAAAATGAAGACCCTCACACAGCCAAGGAAAGTGGCAGGAACCAGGCAGCCAGTCAAGTGCTGAGTGCTCACCAAGGAGGCACTCAAAAGAGTCAAGAGCTGATACGGAGCAACATGACGCTTGGAGAAGGGCTGAAAAGGTGGGAGGCAACAAGAAGTCTAAGCTCAACACTTAACAACAACAGGATCGCATTGCCAAGGGGGAGACATTGTCCCTCCACTTCTGAAGGACCTCCTTTTCCCACTTTTCTCCACTTTCCGTACTTTTCAATGGGCAACTGCTCCTGGAAGTTGCGTGCAAATTAGCTGATGTTTCATCTTCCCCAGTCAACAGTTTCCGCCGATGTGGCCTGCTCTACTTCCCTGCTCCCCCTGACAGCCGAAGCACGCTAGGAAACTGCTAGGCCAGGCTTCATCTCCTGGACAGCCATAAGAGCAACGAGAACAACCAAAACAGCAGCACCCTTTTCTGGGGCCAAAAAAGGGGAAACCGGTGACGAAGTGCCACTCACCACTGGGAGAGAGGCGGTCCCCGGTCCAGCGAGGTCTAAGCGTAAAGAGCAGAAAGGGGCTTGGCTCTCCTTGCCAAACGGCTCACCACAGATCCGCACAGCCCACCACAAAACCGCACTTCTAGTTCAGCTGTCGCAGCGATCCGGCGTGGCTCGAACAGCCCCAGGGACCAGCCGGGGTTCTCAGGGCGTGTGTTGCGGCAGAGTCAGCTGCCCCGGGAAGCAGCTTGGACTGTGGGGGCAAGACAACCCGCCCTGAGAGGCTAACCGCAATGGGCCGTGAGGACCCAGCCGTGGGCTGCCACCTGCTCTCCCTCGGCCGTCGTCACCGTGAGGTCACCCCGCAGAAAGAAAACCAGGGTCACGTTTCCAAGAAACGGCACACGCAGCTGTTCGTGTCTCCTCGGAATGGAATGCTCACTTCACGGGACCACGAGCTGCCGAAGGCGAACCATTTACAGTATGACTAGGAAATTATGACGCCTGCAGCCGTATCTCCAGAATAGGAGACGCTAAAATGGGTAGAGAAAGGGTGGTGTTGGAGTCGCTCCCGTGCTCTCGCTTTTACAGGCCCTTCCAGTTCAGCGGATTTTTCATGGTAGAAAATGGGATTAAGCGCTTTGCTAATTTTCGCGCGGTATCTGCAGATGGAGATGATAACGTTTTAGGCCGACTTACAGAACTATTTCAAGGGCGATTGCTGAAGGCAGCGTACGTAACGGGATGTGGACCCTTGAGCCGCCCGATGCTGGGTACACATTTAAGATCCACAGTTCATAACAGCAGAGCCATATCCCAAATGCCAGTTTATGACGAATGATGCTTAGCTTGGCGACATGATCCTATACGGGTCTCCTCAGATGCAAATACCTTTTGAATTCAGTGGGGTAAATGACTGATGCGAGTCCTTTGCTTATTTGATTTCTAACGTGAGTTAATGCCCCCTCACAAAATAAAATTCCAGAAGCCACACACGGTAAAATAATTATTGCACTGACTAAAAACAAAACAATGTTTTAGTAAAGCAGAAGCTTTGAAAAATTAAACTTTCCCACAAAGAAGTGGCGCCATCCCTGTCTCTCTCCCCGCCTCCCCACGTTAGATTAAGGTTTTGACTAAAATAAACCCGGGTATCTGTTCAAAGGTTTCTGCCCACCAGCAGCACAATGACCAATATACCAGAAAACCCTCTGGCTTTGCAGTGCCCTTTTCCCAGCAGTTTGAGGACCCCCTGTGACTGCACAAACGTTGTTGGGCTGCTAAGCATGGACAAACTGAATTTATGTCACTTGCCCAGGACCAGGGCTAGAAAATGGCTCATGGACATGCATACTGGGGATGATGGACACAGCTATCCATGGCTCGATCCTCAAGATCAGGTCCCAGGAAGCTTATGTGCTGTTTAAATTGCCTTTCAGGGAAGCAGCTTCATCTTATTGGCTTTAAATTTGGCACATCCTCTGTCTTGAAGGCCCAAACAAATGAAATGAATCAAGAAACAAAACAAGGAAGGTACAGACTGGAAAAGACTGGCCAGATTTCCTATTAAAAAAACGGGAAACGGCAGAGAGTGGGGAACAAATGTTACACACTAGTTCCACTTCAGTTGGGAACATGAACAAAATGCAAACAAACGAGGACTAAAAGTAATCAAAACAGAGAAACAACGTTTTGAAAAAGTTCTTGCAAATGCCCAGAACTCGGATCTGCGGAGACCAGCAGAGCAGTGAAGGCCAAGGGGTGCTGCCAAGGCTCTGGGTGCAGGCAGGGTGCCCTTCTGGGGCCAGGTGGGCAGAAAAAGGAGGAGATGCCACGTGGGTGGACGGGACCCCAAGGAACCGGCTTGGGCACGGCGGCTCCGGCTGGCTCCTCGTTCCTCAGTCAGCTCTGCCCCGTCCCAAGACTCATCCTGTGGTAATCATGTAAACACTCAAGGGAAAGATGGCAAGTCCAGACACAGTGGCATTAGTTAATTCTTGAAACATGCTTGCGCTCATTCCAGATAAGCGAGGCGATGCCCAAGCAAGCACTTCTGACATAACGGGGTGGCTTCCGAAGGACTCCCGCGTCGCTTGACCCTCCGAGGGTGGCCAGAAAAGGACTGCCTCACGGGGGACGCCAGGGAGCCACATTACCCCCAGAGGGGCAGGCTCCATCAGGGCCAGCACTGTGTCGCCTGGCTGGCAGGTGCTGCTGGACTCCAGCTCCCATCTTCCCTCCCCTACTGGCTGTGCAAGTCTCAGCAAACCCACCAGCATGTGGAGCGGCCCATGTCTGCTCTGCGGCCCCAGGAGAGGCCCTGGGGGACCCTGTGCTCGCCTCCTCCCTGTCTCCTTCCTCAGGCAGGAGCTGTTGGGGCTCCCCTGCACGCAAGGCCTGACCCACCGCCTTTGACGGGTCCTGTTTCCACGCAGGTTCAAGCCTCTTTCTTTGGCCAAATGAGCAGGAAAACCCAGTCCCTCACGCAGCCCCCCATGAGTGGCACCCACCAGTAGCAGATCACAGGGACCGACTTCCACAGATGTTCAGCTGCCCTCTTCAGCCCTCAAAGCTGTCCAAATGCTGAGAGAGAGAGAGAGAGAGAGAGAGAGAGCGCTTTTGCGTTGCAAGGAAGGCGCCTGCCGGAGGTTAGCTTTTCCCAAAGCAGTCGCTGGGGGTTCTCTCGCCTAACACGGTGATTCACGTCAGAGCCGACTCATGCAGCCCAGCAAACTGGAGACAGACCTCCGGAGCAGAGGGCTATTTATTGCCGAGACATCTTCAGACGGCATCATGCATGCCAGACATTCCCGTCCCGGTTTCCCATATTCTGGCCACTTCTAAGAGCCCCCGGCTGCACCTCTTTTCGAAATGATCGGCACCACCTGCACAGCGGGGAGCCTGTCCTTAACTGGGTCACGGCTGCACAACTGCTGCCCCGAGAGTTAGCTTGCCAGTTCCAGCACGCAGAAGTGCATACGCAACTGTGACATTTCGGTGTCTCTCTCTGTCCATCTAATATGCCTGAAGAGGCCAACACTGCCGCTCTCTTACTGAAAAGCACAGTGGCTTAACAGACAGAAAACCATAATACAATAAGCCGCAGCGTACAGTATGAAAACCGCCAGCATAAAGCACACGGTAATTAAGAACTCAATATTTAAAGCCCGAATGAATTAAAGTGTTTTCACTTCACATCTGGAAGGCCACGGGGAGTGTGCCTGGGATTCTGGCTAGAAGCAATGCCCTCACGCCGGCAGTCCCTGATGGACAGGAAAGAGGTGTTGAAGCACGGAGAGAAGTTAGGAGTTGCGGTGCCAGGCGGCCGGGCTGGGCACAGCGCTCCGAGCGGAGCCGGCACAAGAACAGCGGCTCATCCGAGACACCAGAGAAGAGTACGAGTACGTTGGGCCACGGGGTGCCATGTGCCGTGCCCAGGACTCTTGGCAGCTTTAGCCTGGGGTGTGCGGGCAGCCAAAGGCCACACACAGACAGGGTTCCCTTGGCGAGCAGGCCGGGCCACCGGTGGCCCCATCAGAAGGGCCTTGTGTGAGTCCCTCTTCCAGAAACATAAAGAGCTCTTTCCAGGGAGCTCTCCTGCTCGAGGCTTTTTTCGGTGCTTGTGATGGTTCTGCATGCAAAATTTGCGCTCCAGTCCTGGGCCATCAGAATCTGGCGCCAGGGCGCAGTCGAATGCTTGTTCAGAGAGAAAAAGCTCCTGTCTGGAGAACACGAGGAGTCAGAGGCCTCTTTTCTGTCTAGGATTGCGCCCTGAAAGGGCTTCTCAAAAGGAAACACTCGGTCTTCTTCTAGACCTACTGGGTCAGTTTGAAAAATTAATTTAGCTCTGGCATGCATTTCATGGACATATACGCGCTGTCAGGAATTCTTCTGGTTATTTCCTCCTCCACCCCCAGACAAGAGACACTAATAATGTAATCAGAGTGTTGCATAAACAAGCATGCTCTTCTTACAAGGTCACACTGACAAAGACCCCATTGACTTCTTGCTGTTAGCTCCCCAGTTCCACTGCTGCCTCTGACCACTCCGCCCAGCTGTCCCCCTTTAACCCCCCCCCGAAGAGGGCAAGCGTGATGGAGCTACAGCTGGTCTGAGCACCCCAGGGTCACCCCCAATTTGCACAAAGGGAGTCCGTTGTGTTTTGCCATCTGCACTCGATCTTTCAAAGGAATCCACGGGACAGGAATGAGGAGCATGAAACGTGGGACGCAGGAGGACTCCTGGAGCAGCCCCAAAAGGGATCCCACGAATTGTGGCCAACGCCTACATGAGTGCAGTCCTTAACACACATAACCAGAAAATAAGTCAGTGGGACTTAGATGCTGAGTAAGAATACAGCTTTACCAGAGATCCCCTCCCAGGAACCGGCTAAACTGCAGGGTGATTTTAGCAAACCTTGTGCAACTTAAAGGGTTGCAAAAAAGGGTTTTGACACAAATACCAAGACTTCTCTGTATTATAGATAGACCTCCTCTTTTCCTATCAAGAACCACAAAGGGTAAGCGCCACTCCAAATGCAGATTAGTCACTGTTACACACAAGATGGGAGGGATATACATTTTCACTATTCTTACATTCAAAAAATTTGCTTCATTCTCTGCAAACACTTTCAAAGCCACTTAACGTCCTGCATTCACAACACTGCCAAAACAAAATGGTGCGTATCATTTGCTCCAGCATCTCAGGAGCATCCATGTTCCAAACGTTCAGCTGAGCACTAAACTGCGGAAAGAGGGTTGTGGCCAGCAGAATTACCAGACACACAGCGGCACAGTTCTCCCCAGACACCGAAAGCAGAGTGCAGCAGCAGCAGCAGCTGGCCTGAGTCTGGAACAAGAAACTCTGCCCTTGAGTATGTCCCACGCTACAAGGGCTCTCGCTTGGAGAAACACCGAGCTGGCTGTCTCCACTGAGCTGAGAGGATGGGGTTAGGGTGGGGGTTGCGCAGGAATGCGTGGTGGCAAAATCCATTTGCGCGCGCGCGCACTCCTAGAATCGGGGCTTGCCGGGGAGTGGACGGGTCGGCTCCCCTCGCCGGACAAGAATCCGCAGGAAGGCAGCCAGCCGGGCCGGGATGGTGGGCAAGTGACCGAGTGAGACCCCCAGCCCGGGCGGTGCGCGGGTCCGCGGCTTCGAAGGCGCCCCTAGGCGGGGGCATCGCCGCTGCTGCACCGCCGCGCACGGCCCAGCAACTGGCCCGCGGCGGCTTGGCGGGGAGCAGCCCACGGCCTGGGCGGGGGGCGAGGGAGCAACTGGGACCCCGCGGGGGGGAAGAGCACGCGCCGCCACAGCAGGCACCATCAGCCGCAGCAACGGGGGCTCCGGGCCGCTTGTGCTCCCCTACGATGCAGGATAAACCGGGCGCGCTTCCTCATGCACGCAAGTGGCAAGTCCCGTGCGCCGCGAAAGCGCTGCACGGCGCCCGGGCGGACCCGGCTTCGAGCCCGTCACGGGCGACCTCTCCCCCTGGTCCACCGCGCAGGGGCGTTGTGCGGCGGCGGCGGCGGCGAGCGGGACCGAGTGCGCCTCCTCACCCGCGTCAGCGGGGGCGCGCAGGGTCCGCGCCGCGAGGCCGCTGCAGCCGCCCCTGCCTGCCTGCCTGCCTCTCCGCGGCGGTCCCGGGGGTGCCTGCCGGCGCGCGGCCGAGCGAGCGAGCGAGCGAGCGAGCGACTCACCGGGCGACACGCGGCGCGCTCCTTCCCCGCCGGACGACGAGCACCTCGCCTCCACCTGCCTCCCTCCCTCCCTCCGCCGAGCCAGGCGCGCCGAGGCGGCGGCGGGGAGGGGCCGCGGGAGCCGGCGGCGGGGCGGGCGGCAGCGCCCTCTGGCGGCGCGCGGCGGCACTGGCGGCTTCGAAGGCGCCCGCGTGGGAGCGCGCCTCGCCTCCCGGGGCGCCGCGCAGTGCCGCCTTGCAGACGGCGGCCCGACGGGGCTGCTTTCCGCCGAGGCCGCGGGAGGGCTGCTTTTCGCGGGGGTTTCCAGACTCGGGCAGCAGCGCGCTTGGGAGCAGGGGCCGAGACATGGTGCACTGACCATATAGCCGGTCCAAGGCAACGGCGAAGCGGTTTGCATCCCCCTTTCATGCTCACAACAGCCCTGCGAGGTTGGCTAGCCACGCTGAGTCCTTAAAAGAGGAGGGTGGGATAGAAATCAAAGAAGGAAGGAAGGCGTGCCAACAAGTCACTGCCTTCCCAGAAACGTCCTTTTCACAATCTAAGTTCCCATGAACGTCTCCATATAAAAGTAAGAAAAAGGAGTATAAAGCTTACCCGGGTGATGAGGAACATTCCACAGATTTCCTGACAAACCAAATGTCAGCAGGGAGCTTTGTTATTATGGTTTCCCAGGCGCAGCTCCGCACAACTTTATTCCACCCTGATAACACACAGGAAGCGAGTAGCGGACCCTGGAGGCCTTTCCCACAAAAGCCGGGAGACTCAACAAGGGCAGGCTGAACTGCTGTTTCAGACGGGCACCCACACTGCAAAACCCCTTTCCCTTTCCAACATAATGGGGGCAATAATTGTTGCATATAACAGCATTAGCAAATGTTTTTGGCACGTTAGGCCAAGCATTCCTGAGGTTTTTTTACTTTTAAGGTTTTTTTATGGGAGACCTTAGGGACTTATTTCGACTTAAATGCAATTTGCTTGTTTCACTTAGAAGTGCAAGGAACAGGCTGTGTACGCACACTCAGGTGCCTGCACAACTTCAGGGTCAGCAAGCATCACTTCTTACAAATCAATGCCATTTTAAAAACAAGCGAGTAAACATTTAAAAACATAGCTGGCATGTTTTAAATGCATTTTCTTTAAAAAGCACCCTTATTTACAAAAAGATAGAAGGCTGAGAGCCAAAGGATTGAGGCCTTTGAATTGTGGTGCTGGAGGAGACTCCTGCGAGTCCCTTGGACCGCAAGGTGCTCAAACCGGTCAGTCCTAGAGGAGATCAACCCTGACTGCTCTTTAGAAGGCCAGATACTGAAGATGAAACTCAAATACTTTGGCCACATAATGAGAAGGAAGGACTCCCTGGAGAAGAGCCTAATGCTGGGAACAATAGATGGCAAAAGGGGACGGCAGAGGATGAGGTGGCTGGATGGGGCCAGTGGAGCAGTGGGTGTGAGCTTGGGTGGACTCCGGGGGACGGTGGAGGACAGGAAGGCCTGGAGGAATGTTGTCCATGGGGTCGCGAGGGGTCGGACACGACTTCGTGACTAACAACAACATCCTTAATATGTGATAGAGGGCAAAGCAGGCTAGTTGCTTATCCAGAGCAACCTCCTTTGGCAGGACATACATGGCCAGTAGTGGCGCACCTCCCCCAGGGCAGAGACAAGTCCAGAATTGGACAGATCAGGAAGCCGCGCAGAGTTAAAATAAACTCCCAGTGATGTGCAAGCTGCCCTTACAGTTCCCCTCTTGGTAAAGCGGCATGGCAGGAGTCTTGCATCTTTTTCACTCTGAGGGCCGAAATTCCACCCCAGAGAAGCTTGTGGGGTGCAACCCCAGTGGGTAGGGCTGGGGGCAGAAGGGACAGGGCCTGGGGAAGGGCGTGGCCTTCTGGAGCCATTTCGGGACCCTGGGTGGTCCAGAATTAGCCTCGGGCCAGAGGTCCTACATCCTATGCCATGGCTTCACCTTCAGAGATATTTAATTGGGGACTATCCCATGTTGCAGACGTCCAAACGAGAAAGAGCCATCTATTGCTTTAATACTCCTGTCTGGAAGTGTATTTGCTTTGAGTCAGGTGTCACCGATTTTGCCAGAATGAACTTCCAAGGAAGCATAAGAAAGGGTGCAGCACCTCCTGCTTCCTGTTTATCACACAGCTACAATCTTGCATGGAAAGCCAGCCTCTTGAAGTAACCCATCCCTGACCAGGAACTGCAGGCACTGGCTCCTTGCCAGGGGATGAGAGCAGGAGCTTTTTTACAAAAGATACGAGATTTAGCCTTTTAAAAATGCAAATAGTGAAAGCCTGTTGCTAAAACACCTTCCTCTGCTTGCAGAATGCTCGTTATTGGGCCGATTGAAAACAAACAAACAAACGGGGCAGGCGCTGTTGGAGAAGGCAAGCAGGTCCTCCTGGCCTGTTTATGGAGCTCCTTCTCCATTCTGTGCAGGGGACCCAATTGCCTTAACCACTCACAAAGATGCAGCACCGCTGGCAAGCTTACAGGCCAGAATCGCGGCCCACGTGGCCCGTAGGAAGGCACCTCTGCCCATCCCACATCGCTGGAAAAGGAAGCGGAAACGTCACTCCCTGCGGCAGCTGCGAGGCCTGCCCTCAACGAGCGCCTCCGGCCAGTGGCCCCTTGCCACAAGTCTACGGACAGACGTGCCACCACCCTCCGCTCACGGGACAAGCTGCTCCGGCACAGGATGGGCTTTCCCTGGTTCACCCGCAGCCGTTCCCCAGCTCAGGTGTGCCTTTTGCCCTCTGGCAACGGCCTGCCCGCCACGACCTCCCTGCACGCACCGTGCGCTGAGGACAGCAGCCAGCCCCCAGATGGACGTCTTTGTGCAGAGTCAGTGCCGGAGGGAGGGGATTCCTAGCTCCTGCTCCCTCAACGTTATCGCTGCCCTCAAGTCCCATGAGACGCACGGCCCCGCATTGTCTCCTTGCTGACCCTCAGGAACTGGGACTGCTCATAAAACAGGCGGGCCCCTATCCTGGGGGGAAAGGCCACACGGGGCCAGAAGCGCTGCTCAGGCTCTGCCAGGAAACAAACCCAAAACCGGGAGGCTAAACTGCTTGCTCGGCATGCGGAGTAGCCAGGGCTGCAAAAGCGACTGCCATGCCTCAGAGGTGGAGGGCTGAGCAGGAGGGGCTCTTCCGACCAGTTAGCATCGTCAGGACTCAGCAGGGAGGCTATCGCCCTTTAAACTGGGCACTGGAGTTCGCATCTGCAGGCGGGAGTCAGACGTGCTTCTGTGGTGTGCCCCTCAGCGTGGCTCAGAAGAGCCTGAAGGCGCACCCCGTGGCCCAAGAGCAGGGGCTCTTCAGATCTGGTGCCTGAACGTGCCTCCTCCCTCCCCCCCGGTCACCCCCAGCTGCGCCCCGTCCCTTTCTCCTGCACGCCATCTTTTGGACTGCAAGCCTGAGGGCAGGGGCGGCCTCATGGCTGATTGCAAACCGCTCTGGGAGCACTTGCAACCAAACAGTGGAGCAAAACCATCTTGAACAAATCGCTGTGCTGGTCCCTCTGCAGCAGCAGGACGAAAATGGACCAGACGCGTGAGAGCCGGGCAGCGCAGGACTCCTCCAGGAAAGCAGAACCCTCCCTCCTGCAGTCGGCAATCCCCGCTCTGCACTCCTCTACCTTTCATTAAGGTACAAGGACAGAGAGCTAGAAGAACTCACACATCTGCTCTCAGGTCGGAATCCGTCTCAGGTGAACAGCAACAAGGCTGAGCGAAAAAGCAGTAGAAAATTATTTTATTAATTTATTTACTTGTGGCAGTTTCTGACAGAAAACCAGGCTTCATTTCAAGGTGGCAACCCTTCCGCTGTGCAGACATCCCTCACCATGTCTAACAGTTAACACTTCCCAAGGGATGAGTGAAGAACTGTGCAAAAATTGAAGTTTAAAAACATCAAGAGGGAGGCACATTCTAATTTCTTCATAAGAGACTGAAACATGGGCTTGTCAAATGGACGAAAGCACCCTGTTTGCCCATGAACTGTTGCAACAGGCTAATCCCAAATCCTACTGCAAAGACAGCTACAATTGCATACATAATAAAAAAAACCTAAGGGCGAAAGGCCATTTTGTGTCCCAAGTACAACAAAGGACTCTCCTGGGAACACCTTTTGCGTTAGCCCCACGGGAACAGGAAGACATGTGCATTTTTTAATTGTGAGTGGGGCTTGCACAAGAGATGCTTCAGATCAGGAGGGGGAAACAGGTAGCCATCCAGATATCAGCTGCAACTCCCATCAGCCCTCAACACTGGCGCTGCTTGCTGGGGCTAATGGGAGTTGAAGTCCAGGATCTGACAGCCATCTGTTCCCCCCTCATTTCAGATGCTTTGTGCCCAGCGACCTTGGCCTCTGCATGCTATCACCTGATTACATGTATGATAAAATGGATACGGATATGCGCGCTTTCAGCAAAAGCAAGGTGTGCCGCACTGGATCTCTCCCCTCTCTGCCTCGACGATAACAAAGAATTGGTCCGTATCGCCTGGAACCCCCCACAAATGGCTTAGTGGCATGAATTATACAATACTGGAATAGAAACCATGCATAAGATACTTTGCATATATAATATGTAACATATTTTGGAATTCTTTACAAAAAAAGAAGTGTAAGGAAACCACATTGCAGTAAATGAGACTTGAGAAAGCGAAGACACGGGCTGCACCAGCAGGGGAGTTGGGCGGCTCGCGCCAGCTTTCGAGCCTTCTTGCCTCATTTATGTGGCTCGCTCTGCGGCTGCAGGGGGTGCACCGACATCCTCCTGCAGAGCGCCGGTCTTCCGGAAGAGCCCCTTCCCAGGTGGCCAAATGGCTCTCAGCAGCCGAGTTCATCACACTGTGCAAGGCGTGCGAGGTGCGGAGGGGGAACCGCTTTCACAAGAGTGCAGGCAGGCCGACTAAAGCCTTTGCCGCAGCGAGGAAAGCTGGCGGCGACTTTGCCGAACCTCAACCATTTCGCCTCAGGTGCCCAGAGACAGCGCTGCAGAACCGAGGGCGGTTTGCCGGGTGCACAGAGGAACCGAGAGCGGGGGTAGGGTGCTCGGCATGCCGTGCCACCTTCCTCGCTGCTGGCCAGCCGGGCGAGCCTCCCAGGCGTTCTCCCGCTGCTCGGTGGCGATTCGCCCGCCAAGCCGGTGCTTCCAGCTGCAGCGATTTCAGGGAGCTGAGAGCCCCCTTTAACCAGCGAGAGCTGCCTGGCCCAGGCTTGGTCTGAGACCAGCTCTTCCAAAGCCGTTAAGCGCCCTGTCAGCATGGGGTCATCAGACCAGCATTTCAATAGGGGCTGGGAGAAGGAGGGAGAGACTGAAGACGGAGAAGGGCCGGCTGGGTCCGTGCAAACATTGGCCCCGTTCGTGGGATACCCTGGTCGCTTCTTTCACCTGGCCTGCAGATCCCGGCGTTAGAGCAGGCATCACGGATACGTCTTGAAGGAGAGCATCCACAAAGCGCTCACTTGCATGCGACCAAAATCTCAATGCGATGTCCGGAGCAAGGGTCAATTGCAGGCAGGTTTCGGAAAGCGTCGAGCAGAGAACGGCTCGAACAAAGCAAACGCGGCCTTTTTGAGAGCCGCCGATGTTTGGCAAGGGCAGACTCCTCCACTGCATTCCGAGTCGTAAACGTCCTTGCAGTGTGGCTTCAAAGGAAACCACCGCAGTAGACGGAAGGCACGGAGAACGGCCTTCCCCAGCCTGCAGCCCTTCGGCTGTGCTGGAGTACAACTTGGTAATTCCCAGAACTGGCTGGGGATTATGGGAATTGTTGTCCAACACATCTGGAGGGTGTCAGATCAGGGAAGGCTGATATAGATCAAATTAAACATTGTAGGGAAGAAAAGAGCCAAGAAGGAACGGCAAATGGCAAGAAAGGGATTCTGGAGCATTACTGTGTCTAAAAAGGGGACTTAGAGGAGGGGAGAGAGGAGGTACAACTCCTAGGCACATTCACATTGATCAAAAACACACCCTTCCCTTCATTTTCTCAGGTTCACAATCTTTGCCTAAGGCAACATGCACACCCACACAAATCACAGTAACACGACAGGAAGAATCTATCTGGAATTTCTCTGGCAGTGAAGGTGCACCAGGAGGACAGGAGCTGAGCCCTTCCAAACTTGCAGCGGCAAACAGTACATGGGGCCGAAGAAAAAATGAACTGCTGTATATTCAAGAAGGCAAATCTTCCCCATTTAGTGGGACTTTCAGGACTGCTTTCCAGATGAAAGTGTTTTGATTCACAGAGAACGTGAAGGAAGGCAGGCTTTTCAAGACTAGGAAGCCTCAGCCTCTCGGGAGAACTTTCAGATTAATCTACAGCACCTTCACAGGCTAACGAGCCTGATGAACCAGCCCACGTGCCCCGCATGAAAAGAAAGCAGCCTTCCAATGCAAAATCCCCAGGAAACAGCCAGGTATCCCTCATGATTACCTGGAGGGGGGCCCCTCAGGCAACTGCACCTTCACCTGACCAGAGCATGAGCAAGACTCCCTTGCTCCTGGGTGTCACGGTGCATCAGCTCAAGCTAGTGCAGGCCTGTGGCAGAGCATTCTGGTGGGGACTCCACACCTTTGGTGGCACCGTGCAAGGGAAACACCGGCATTTTCTTCACCACGAAACACCGAGGCAGAGCGCTGCAGAATTTCCTCTTGCCTCGTAGTTCTGGAAAGTCAGGGGCCCTGGCCAGGGTAGCATCTGGCAGCATTGAGAGATTCCTCATGGTGCTCACAGAGTGCCATGCGAGAGCATATTTCAGCACCCTTCTTGTTATAAGCAGAGGTGCTGGCACGAACGCAGCGACACCTTAAGAGCACTTGGTCCCTTGGCAAAGACACTGGCTCCAGGCAGTCTCTTCACATTTTCCTGATTCTAAGTATGTGTACAGATAGCTGTCAATATTTCGGCTGGTTTTAAACAAACAGGGCCGAGCGGCCCATCCTCAACCGACCAATGAAAATGGTCGATTTTGTTTAATATAATCAAAGCCGATGAGGAATGTCTCTCCCAAATGGAATACTTACGAATTCTCAAGACATGGCTGAGGGTGAAGGGCAGGGAAAGGGGAACGCCAGCACGACCCAGGCACAGAATGGAAAGAGTAAGGGCTCTGCTATATTGCTTCTTAAAAAGGCACCGCAACGATCGGGGGCTTCAAAAGCAGAAAGATGGGCAGCGGCACAGCCGGAGCCCAAACTCCGCCGAGCGCTCGGTACGCAGTGGCATGCAGGAAAATGAAATTGAACAATCCGGCATTTTGTGGAATAAAGGTTTCTCCAACGAAGTGCTCTCATTTGGAAATCTACCCCGCAGACTTCCAGCTGCCATGACTCAACATTCCATTTTGCTGGATCGTTACGGAAGAAGGCCTGCTGGGATTCGGCAACTCCGCAGAACTTTGGTCACGATCCCAAAGAGTCTCGCCTCCCCAGGGGCTTCCTCAACCATCTTCCTCATCATCACTAATGAGGTCCCTTTTATCTGGGTTGGTCTCCCGTTCACGCAAGAAGTCCTCCCGCATGGCTTCCAGCTCCATGAGCTCCAGGCGGACTTTCTCCAGGTGGTAAGCCCTCCGGTTCCTGATCTGGCGCAGGGGGAAGGGATTGAGATCCCCAAAAGCAATACTGATGAGCTTCCTGGAAGAGAAGAGCGTAGCCACGGTGACGAGCCACCTCTCCTTAAGGTGGACTCCCCGTGCCAGGGGATCCAAGCCTGCCCCTCCTGCTGGCAAGGTCGCCCACCCCCCCCACTCAAGGTCAAGAGCGATAATTAAAGGGGGCTGGGCTGGGGGAGGATGAAACAGGGAGGCTCTTGGCTCATTTGGCTTTGAAAACGGTGAGGAGGCTGCTGCTGCTGCTGCCGCCATGAAGACGAGAGGAGGCGCTTTTCTGGAAAGGGCAGGTTCCCCAAACCTAAGAGATGGGCAAGGATGCGTCCTGGGCATCTCTCCAGTGACGTCTGTCTCTCGGTGCGAGGCAGTGAACTGCGCCTGGTTGCCTTGCGACCCTTCCCCTACCCCAAGGAGAACGGAATGTGCAGCCTGCAGAATCGGAAGGCTGCAGCGGCTCCAGCTTGTGAAATCAGCCGGAGACTCCAGCCAAGGGGCATTTCAGAACGACAGGAAGTGCCATGACCCTGCACTGCTTTAGGCGTTCAGTAGGCAGGCCCCAGCCTGCCCGAAACAGCAGCGCCGTACATTCCACCGCATATTCCCCCCTCATCCCACCCCGTTTGTTTATGACGAGCTCATTCTTCTGTCAGAACAGAGAGGCCACCAGAAACGACATCCATGTTTGTTCCCCCCGTAAAATAAGCCCGGAAGACAGCTCTGTTTCTGGGTACCTCACTGCTAACACGCTGAAGGCCTTCTGTTATTGTGCAACATCAGCCTCCCCCAACTGGTGCCCACCAAAGGCGTCAGGCTACCTGGTTCTACAAGCCTTGGATGCAGGAGGCAGGGAAGCCACGAGGGAAACTGCAGCAGCAGGTGTCGCCCAACAGGGGGCGCTGCAGCCCAGCAAGATGCGTTTTGTCCACTTTAACTGGGTGTAGGAGGTGCCAGAGACTTTTGCTAGACCAGCATCACCCAATAAGGATTTTTCTGCTTTGGGAGGCAGAGATGTCCAGTCGGATTTGCACAGGCCTTCGGATGAGCTGTTCAAGTGCCTAAAGCGCCACTGAACGAATGAAGCGCTGCTCCTGGGAAGGCGTTTTCGCTGCCCCGCCCCCAAAACTAGCTTCTGACATCCAAAAAGCCCTTACCTAGCATCAAGGATGGTGCGAGTGAAGTACCTGAGGTACTTGAATATGGACATTGAGTCTTGTAGCTTTAAGATCTCCTCCTCTTTGTATTTAAAGAGTGCCAAAGCAAACCGGAAAATGACCTAAACAGCCAACAAACATCGGGTTACAATAGAGAGCGAGGAAGGTCGGTAGCCCTCTGCTACTGCAAGGCTTTTCCCCACATGCTTTCAAGCCGCAAGATCTAGAACCCTAATGTTGGGCTCGTCTGAACCCCCCTATGGCCACCTGTACGCACATGCAACCCTCCGTGAGGTTGTAGCAAAACATCGAAATCCAGACACTGTGGAGTATTTGAGGGTTCAGTACCTCACTGAACCCAGCCACAGTCCACAGTGAGCCTGGCCCATCTTGTGAACCAGATCAACCCTAGTCCAATTTTGTCTCTGTGAACCACCTAGAGATACCTTTGAATTGTTAAATTAAAAAGTCAAATAATAAATAAGGGAAACTGAGACTGGATTTATGTATATACAGCCCAGCTGCATTGGTAGCAGCCAGTCAGTCTCCTTCAGGACAAGGGCAATTTGGCTCATTGTGTCGAATGCCAAAAAAGAAAACCTCAGAAGACATTCCCGCTTCATTACCATCATTAAACCATGGTTTAGCGCACGGCTTGTGCATGCCTCCACCCCTCCTGGAGCAGCTGCAAAGCAATCCCAGGCTTCCATTTCCATTTCCAATTAAGTACAGGTTAGTATTATGTCCAAATCTCGGACCATGGTTAATTCAAAGCATCCTCTGAAGCTGGCTTGTTGCAGTAAACCACTGCTGAGACTACTTACACTCTGTCCAACTTGACCAAAATGCTAAAACCACAGTTATTTAAACAGGGAAGCAAACGCTCTGCTCTCCCCTCGTGTCCTGCCACAGGAAGAAAGTGGCGTGGGAGGGCTGCAGAGCCTGAGGCCGATGCATGTAACGCTGAGCCATCACCGCATCCCAGCCGTTTCAGCAACCCCGTCCCAGCGCCACCTAGTTCTCCTATGCAAGGCCCACGGAAACTGCGGGGATTACCAGACTCCTGTGGAACTCACATTTGCTCAGGGGGGTTTCTCGCTGTTCAGAGAACTCCTTGCTGGTCTGCGCGACTTGTTAGCCTCTTAAGCACTCGAGTGGCGCTGCTTCAGACCAAAGGCTTTCCAGTCGGCCTGCCTTCCTGCAAGTCAGCCCCTCTGCTCCAGCACTGTTCATACGGACTGGAGCAGCAACTGAGGGTTTCAGGCAGGGCTCCTTCTGCACCCGGCTTGGGGGTGCCAGAGGCGGGACTTGGGACCTTCGGGGTGCTCCACCACCGAGCCCCGGGCCCTCCTGAAGCGAGCGGCTGCAAGACCCAGGGGGCTTTTCGAGACGCGCCACGTACCTTCGGCCCCTCGTACAAGAAGGCGTCCCATATCCTGAAGAGGATGTCGCTGACCACACTGTCTACGAACAGGACAAGAAACCAGTTGAAGGTGATGAGCGAATAGTCCACCCGGTGCTGCTCGAAGTGCGCGTGCAGCCGCGGGAGCTTCTCGGCCATCAGATCCTTGAAGACGCGCTGGTCAACCTGGAGGGCCAAGGGCGAGAGAGCGAAGGGAGAAGCGCTCAGCGGCGCCTGGGAGTCATTTCAGGGCGGCGGCTGAAGCAGGGCAGAGCTGGGCATTTCCATGGCCGGCGGGAGAGGCTTGTGAGCACACTTCGGCTTTGCCTCGGGCGCACCGTGCCTGCTCGGCTCCCTCCTCTGTGCGCGCAGTCCTCGCTTGCCGTTTTCAACTGGCGCCTGCTGCCCCGCCTCTGACAAGGCAAGGCAGGAAGCCTCAGTTTAGCTGCATCAATTTGTGCCGCGTGGAAAACCAGCCGAGGAGGCAAAATCCCCACGTGCTGAAAACAAGCATACCAGGAAAAGGCGTCTCGCCTCTTTTTCAAGCCCATATGTGAGTTTGCTGCAGGCAGGAATGATGGACCATTCATTTAAGGGGGTTACGCCAGTGCCCTGTTGGCATAGAGAAGCAGCCCCGTACACCCAGTGCCCAACCCCTCTTCTCCGCCCCGTGGGGCCCACCCTTTCAGCGACGGGCGCTGCCTGCCCCTGGGTCCCCGCCATACCTGGGACCCTAGCAGGGTTTTAGTGTAATAGTCCCGAGGCATGAAGGCTTCGACAATGGTCACCAGGCACCAAAAAGCATCCTCCTGCTCCAGGTAGAGGAGGGCAATGGCCACCAACCTGAAGAACAGAACAGAAACCATGAGGAGCAGAGCTTTCCCGAGGCAGAGCTGCTCCTGTGGCGTCAAAGCTGGCGCCGACGAGTGACTGGCACCGACGAAGCTCGGGCCACAAAGACACGCAGAGGCGGGAGCCGCCTGGCACCAGACTGCCCCCCCCTGCACACGCGTTCCTGCTCTCCCCCCCATCCCTCCTGCTCTCAACCAATCCCACGGAGAGAACGGACGCTTCCCCCACCTCTTCATCTGACTGGCCTGCTCCCAAGCAAACCAAGAGGCTCTCCTGAGAGCAGACACTTCTGTCAAGCAAAACCCACTTTCAGGAGAAATTATATTCATATCGAGATGCTGAGGACTGTCTCCCTCTGTACAGAATTCTGCAAGGCCACAATACTGGAATAACACAAACTGAATTGGAAGGATAACTAATAGCTCAATGGTCTCTCTCTCTCTCTCTCTCTCTCTCTCTCTCTCTCACACACACACACACACACACACACCCCACCCCCAGGGGCCATGGAAGACCAAACTGCCTGCTGAGAGAAAACGGGATCCACCACCCCATTCCTGTTAGTGATGCACTGATTCCCAGAACGGCACGAGATATTTCACAGAATGGCTTCTACCTGTTGAGGCCCTGGCAGTAGCCTATGTCCGGGTTCCGCCAAGAGAAGGCAAGCAAGACGTTCCGCAGCTTCTGTATCCCTTCAGAGGCTGGCGAAGAGTAATGCTTGTTGTTGGGCAAAGTCCGCAAGAGATCCAGCTCAATCTGCTTCGAGGCCGGGTTCTGCTTCTTCAGGGCGTTCTGGAGCAGGCCTTGGAAGTAGCCCGGGTCTGCACTGGCCTTGAACTTTTTCACATGGAGGCCCACGCACCACTTCCAGATCTGGGAACGATGTTCATGCGGAATCCCGCTCCGAATGAGGTTCTTGAGTTCCACGGAGCGCACCATCTCCCTGTTCATAGTGCTGGCCAGGTAATTCTCCCATTTCACCCCTGTGGACATCTCCTGATGTTCAGTAAGGGAGAGAGATTTCAGGTCCAAGGCACGCACTTTTGCTACCAGCTTCTCTTCCTCATCATCCTCTGGGACGGTCTGAAATCCATAAATATCATATTCGCTGCAAGGAAGAGTGAAAATTGGATTATACTCAGGGCTATTTTATTCGCTGCAAGGAAGAGTGAAAATTGGATTATACTCAGGGCTAACTTTAAAAAATAAAGTTAAGAAGAAAAGCCTGCAGAAGCCTTCTGGACAAAGCAAACACATGTGTGCTTTTCATTATGGTCATTCAAGAATGTTAATTCCACCTTAAACGCCATCCACGATCGTTAAGTACCCAAGACAGGCCGAGCAGCACTACACTTGCCAGTGAGAACCGTTCCGTTTGAATTATATCTCTGACCAGCAAAACAATCTGTTATATGCATTCCAGCATGCAAACATCTGAGCAGTTTCGCTGCATCGCTGGACTCAGCTCTTGCTGCCCGTGCCGCTAACAGCCTCAGAACGGGCACTTTTAAATCATTCATATGCAGCAACGAACACACTGTTCTAAGGTGACAGTAATAAGAGCATGGACCCCCCCCCCCCCCCGCAACACACACACTCTTCCCAAGCAGCTCCGGATGACCTAACCTTACCTCACCCTCCAGGTGCCATTCCTGACTTTAGAAGCCAGAGAATATTCTGCAGACAAAAAGTGCAAGTTAAATGCCTATGGATGTCTGAGATCTCTGTAACAGAACTGAGTAAGCAAGCATGCCCAGTATACTGCCTATTAATCGGACAACCTAGCTTATAAATATCGGGGGTGTTTTCAGCCCCTAGCTGCTCCATGTTGCCCCTTCCTGCTGGACTCCTGTTCCTGCACCGCTGGACAAGAGCTCTAGAAATTCACTTCAAGGGACAATTTTGATTTTGCCCAGGCACCTGGAGCGGTTTCCAGCACAGACTTTCCTGGGACGGCTGGGAAAAGTATGAAATGCCACTTGGGTAGCCAAAGGGCCGATAGGACTGGAGCCAGACGGGGCCCTGGAGGCTAGTTGGGCAAACTCTGGTCTTTCCTGAGGTTCTGGTTTTACAGCTCCCATAAATCCCTGCCAGCACAGGTAATGCTGAAGGATGCGTGATGTTGCGGGCCGAAGCATCGAGAAAGTCAAATCTTGTCCACCCCACTGCAGGCTATCCATGCGAAAGACTCGGTGGCACATATTCATGCCAAGCATGACAGGAACGCCTCTTACGATGCACCATAATCAACACGGTTCACACGATTATCATCGCATCGCTCTCCTGGCTCTTGGAGGAAACAAGAAGGGCCATGAAGATAAATCAGGCATGGGTTTGTTTTACCTGACCATGTGAGGTTTGAAGTACGTTTGCTCTGGGTGTTCGCTGCTGTCCACTTTTAAAGCATCTTCCAGGAGCTGGGTCACAACATCATGACGAGGACTCTGCTCTTCCGAGTAAACTGGGGCCTTCATTTCTTGAAGTAAAATTAGGTACTTGCTTTCTACTTGACAGAGTTTGGCTTCTAGGTTTGTATACTGCACAGAACACAGAAGGGTATATGGCTCTAACAAAGGCATCTGCAGAAACATCATTTCTGCGATGCGTAGGCATCCATTTTCATATGTCCAAAACTGAAAGACAAGTATGTGTGGGAGTAGAATTCATCTACCTCCCTATGAAGATAAAGACCAGTGTGACCACTATCAAGAATTACAAAGGTTCATGAAATCACAGCAAACTGAACCCACAACAAGACATGTTATATTCCTCCTTGTAGAGACGGAGAATGTGCAGAGCAGTTTGTGCAAACTCTGAAATTAAAGTTCGAGAACTGAGTTTACACAGCACTGTTCACCGCAGACATTACACACACCTCCTTCAAAAGCTCACTTCTGAGACACTGAAAAAGTCTCAGGTTAGCAGGATTTTACTTTCTTTGTTTGAATTTCAGACATTCGAAAAGAGTGAAAAGTTTAAAATGAAAAGTTGTCCAGGGCTAACCTTTGCCATCAAATCTCTCTCTCGGTTTTCGGCATTTCTTCGTAGTGCAGAAAGTTCCAGGATCTCCTTATTTAAGAATTTGTTCTGGCTTTTGTAACCCTGAAGACTGTCCTGTCAAAAAGCAAAAGGAGGGCTTTACACAGAAGGGTATTTAAAACAGGCAAACAAACAAACAAACAAACAAACAGAAATGCCGAAGTGTTAAGTGTGCAAAAGTGCAGTACTAAGAACAGAGACTTGACTTTGCAAGGTCAGCTTCCAAAAGCAAAAGCATTTCCAGAACTGGGCAGGGAAGGAGTTTCACATGTGACGGGAAACAGTGAGTTCTCTCTCTCTCTCTCTCTCTCTCACACACACACACACACACAGTTTCACATGTGACGGGAAACAGTGAGTTCACACCCCCCTCCCCCTTACTTTCAGTCTGTCTAGCTCCTGCAGTTCTTTGTTCATGGACGACGACATGGAAGAACTGGCCGATGCACTCTGGCCGGACGACTGGTCCTCGCATTCGCTGAGCTCCCGGGAGAGCTTCATGATGACCTCGTCTTTGGCCTGAATGGTCTCCATGAGCATGCTCAACCGCTCGCTGAGCTCGCCCACCTTGCTCTTCAGGTTCTTGACCTCCTGGTGCAGGCTCTCTTTTTCCACAGTGAGTCTCTCCAGCTGGTTGTTGAGACCCAAGATCTGATGGTCCTTCTGGTGAAGCAGCTCCAGTCTGTCCTTGGGGCCCCCGTCACAGAGGTGCCCAGCCAAGTACTTGTCATACTGAGAAGACCGGACGGTCTGCTGCAGAAGCCGCACAAGTTCCTGCAAGCCAAGGAAGGGGGCTGGTGGGTCGGAAACACTGGGGGCATACCGGGCTGGCCTTCCCCCAACCTAGTGACTTACAAATGCCTGGCACTATGACTCCCGCCAGTCCCACCAGCACGGCCAATTGTCTGGGATACCTGGGTAGCAACCTGAGGGAAGGCTGTACTTCTACGAAGAAGTACGAATGGTTACCTGTTGGGCCAACACCTCTCTGATCACCTAGGGATGACCTTGGCATTAACAGCTGAGCAGGAACCACTCGGTGGAGAGCGTCAACCAGAGGGAACTGTTACCTTCAAGGGCAGAGCTTTTCCAAAGCTTAATGCCAGGGCCTTAACACCTGCCCCACTCAGGCTACTGATTTTCTCATGGAATTTCAAAAACATGAGAGGGGTATTTAAGTGTAGGCCCGAGATGCAATCCAAGATGCTTATGGTGAGGACGACTAAATCCTTCTGGAACCAAGGAACTATCCAACTAGGTCAGCACGCTAAGGAACCTTCGGCTTCCATCCCTTGCAACAAACGGCAGGCCGCTTCTGGAACCGATAGAAGTTTCAGAAGCACGGCGGTATGGCTCTGAACATGCCACATCCGCAGAAGGCACGCCCCGGTCCCGCGGGGCAGGTTTTCCTCCACTTGAATGTAATGAAAAGTCCCCCTGCAACCTTCGTGTGTCTTAAATGCTACGGAACCCAGGCGCATTCTGCCCTGGCCCTGAGCTTCCTGGCTCTCGCCTGCTCCTCGAGCGCACCAGGACGCACCGGCGGGGCTTCCCCCCAGCAGATGTGTGGTGACAATACACACGCTTGGCCAGCCGGGCGGAGCGCGATGTGCCACCAGGCCCTCCTGCCGGAGAAGAGGTACCTTTTGACTCGACAGCTCCTTCTTGAGCTTCTCCAATTCGTCTTGCTGGCTCTGGAACTTCAGCTGCATCTCTGAAGCCAGCTTGTTTCCATTCCATTCGACAGGAGAAGACTCCACGCTATTCCGGTTTTTGCCGGTTGCCATCATCTCCTTCAAGGGGCGCTTCACTTTGTGTGGAATGCGGGCAAAGTCAAATGGAAAGGCTGAGCCAGCCATGCCTGCCGAGGGAGAAGGAGGTTTCCCAGCTCAGATCAAACCCGCACGTATCCTTCCCTTTCGTGCACAACATGCCGGTGCTTGATCACCACATCCAGACAGAACCGGGCAAAGACATTCTCAGGCTAACAGACTATTTTTGCTCTTCTTTTTGGGTTCTAAGCAATGAGACAATCAGGAAACAGACGCTGTAAAGCGTGGCTCCCCTCAGAGCAACTCCAGGAAACCCCGACCAGAGCAAACGCCTTTCATATTTAGCAGATGGAACATGCACACAGCAAATCTGCACAGAGCCCACATTTTATCTACCGCATATGACCCCTACACATCTCTCTCCAAGGATGGAGGTCATGAGGTTGCGGGGCGGGCGCTCTGCCCATCCCACTGAACTGCACGGCCTGAAGGATCCTCCTTATTGTGGGTTATTTAGCAGAAACGAGGTAGGAGTACAGTATGTGGACCGCCCTGAGGCTGTCTGGGGCTTTTGACACTGTTTTTATTTCTTTATTATTACATTTCTTCACTCTGTCCCCTCCAAGGAACCCAAGGGTGCTTACGTGAGTCCCGCCCCCCCGCCCCCATCTTGTCCTCACCTGGTGAAACAGGAAAGGCTGAGAGCTATGGAATGTCCCAAAGGCAGCCAGGGAGCTTCACGGCCCAGTGGGAGCAGGAAGCTGCCCCTCTCCCGTCCCGGTCCAACACACTCACCATTAGGCCACACTGCCCACACGTTCACAAAACAGGAAGCAGCTTTTGCTGCAAAGACATGGGGAGGAGGGCCCCGAGGGCCCACAGCTGTTCATCTGGGCTGTTTCAGAATTATGAGTCCCCCAGAGCCACAGGGACCTGTTTTCATGGTGTGCTTTTAGGGCTGGGTCGTTTTTTTTTAATCAGCTCACAAGTGTTGGTAGCCCGGAAATAAAGGCAAAACTTGCACAGAGTAAAGTATCAGAAAGCACCAGGGCAGGGTGTGTAAAAAGCTTTTGGAACCTTTGCTGGGTTCTGTTGAAAGCTTCCTCTTTTCCTCTTGAGCCAACGACTCCTCCAAGTCCTTCGGGGTGGGATCTAGCATTTCCCATTCCTCTGTGTAAAAAACACTCTTGCGGTTGTCATGGCTTCCTTTTCCCGTTCTTAATGAAGATACAGAATTCCTGAGAAGTACAAAGGTTAAAGTTAAACTTAAGAACAGTTGTAATTTAAAAAAAAATAAAAATAAAGCAGATGCAGTTAAAGAAATCAAAGTGGGGAAACGAGGGGAAAAATGAAAATAAATAATTTTCACACTTACTCCAGAGCAGACAAACTAGTAGAGGCAGGGGACCTCACTGGAAAGACTAGCCCCTGTGCATATGAATCTCAAGGATTAGGCAATTCATGAATCAACACCATTCTCAAATGAAAAGCAATTCCCAGGGTACTGCAGAAGAGCCTTCAGCATGAAATACGTACGAGACAACGGCTTGTTCCAAAGTTGCAATCATACGTAGGACATCGAGAAATTGTAGGTGCTTTAAACAAATTCAGCTGAAAGCCAACTTCAACAAAAAGAGCGAAATGCTGCCCCAAATATCAGTCTGACCAAACTGAGTTCAGAAACCAACAAGCCTGCACATTTGCTGTTGAATAAAGTAAAATCCTTCCCTTTTGGTCAAGTCCAAGTCCAGCATTGCTGTTTGCCTTCCTAGTTCTAAGACGTATATAGAGCAAAAGCTGAAAGCAAAGACTTTTACCTAGCAAATCAAGCTCCTGAAAGACAAGCTTCATAACAACAAGCTTCATCATACGCTACGCAGACCAGAGAGGCAGAAAGTGCCACTGGTTAATTCTGTGTGTTAAAGCAAAAGCTGGGGTTGCAAAATCTCGCGCTACTGTTACACCACAGCAGGGCTACTACAGCGCTTGCATTCGACAGGCAGACTCTCCTCCCGTGTGCGCCGCTTCGGGGGTTTACCAGAAGGGCTGCGGTCGGGGCCGTCACATGCTCCAATGGAGGCAGCAGCCACTGTTTCCGGGGCACAGGCCGCGTTGCATATGGGTAGCGTGCTCTTCCCAAGAGCAATGCCCGGCACCCCTCATCTGGCATGCCCTGGCCAGAGGTGCCCAGAGGTGCCGCACCATGTCGCCGCAGGCAGGCTGGCTAGCTCCGAGAGAGAAACACGAGGGAAAGTGCGAGATGAAATTGCTAAACTTCTGAAGGCAGAAGCCTGATATTTTGGTGAAGCTGCAGACAAAGGGGAACCTGGCAGAGCCCTGGAGATTTTACTTCCCGTGGCTGACTCTGCACTCCAGCAAGTTCCTGGGGACTTTTGAAGCACGTGGAGGCGGCGAGAGTACGAATAGCAGTGGCGCAGTTCTGCATCCAGAACAGCAAAGGCCATCTGTGCCCACAGAATGATGCGGTGAGCCCGGCAGAGGTTCCCCCAAGCCGATTCCTGTTCCTACGTGGGGACCAGCTGGGCACCAGAGCGGCTGAGAGTGTACACAGAGCTGCTCGTCCTTGAGGGAGGAGAGGTGTGCCTGAGCCAGGCTGCAGGAAACGGATGTCGTTACAGTTGGGCACCCATAACTCCAGCTGCCACAGGGAGGAAAGGCCTGGAGAGTAAGCAGGAACGGGAGGAAGTCAGAGCCCCCTCGGAACACTTGGCGACCATCAGTGGTGGCAGATGTTTTTTCCGGTCAGGCTGACAAGCACGAAAAATCTTGCAACACTTGCCGAATTGTAGGCCCAACAGTCTTCTTTTCAAAGCCTTTCCTCCTTTCCCACCCTTGCAACTCAGCGGCATGAAGAGGGGAATCGAATAACACTCGCTGGAATCACAAGGCAGATGTGGTCTAATTTTTCCAGGATCACCAAGGCAACCCTTGTGGTGCACAGACTGCTCTGAAATGATCTGGAAAAAGAAGCAGGAGATGCAGTCCTCCAGGTACTGAAGCTTCACCCCCAGCCAGAAGATGATGGGGTTTGTGCTGCAACAGTCCTCGGAAGATTTTCATCTCTGAGCACCGTTGCAGCAATAAGGAAAAACTACTTAGGCATAGATGCTACAGAACGATAAAAAGCTGAAGGGTCCAAAGTGACCCTGTGCCACAATCTGACCGGGATCAAAAGAAACTACTTTTCTGGAGGTCCAGCAGGCCTGGCAATCGTTACACTGTGCTTCTTCCTGTATCAAATGAAGAAAAGGGAACACAAAGGCCAAGGCTTGGGGTTTTTTGTCTTCCGTTTCTTACAGTGTTACAAGATATGCTGCAAGGATAAACATTCCACATCTTTTAAACAAGAGTGTTTTTATGCTCCCTGTACAAAGGGAAAGAGAAAGTTGAAGTGCCCCCAGAGTCGGTCATTAACTCCTGTGCTTTTTTTCTACCTTAACAGCATTTTTATGGAAAGGAAAAAGATGGAGGAAGTGGACAGAAAACATGCAGGGCTCACAGATTGGGGGCAACACCCCCCATGCCCCACAACAGTCTGCCAGTGAGGCCGGGCAGCTGCAAAAGGAGGCCCTTGGTCTGCGGGGGTGCCTAAAGGGCACTGGCTGAGCCTGAGACGACGACTCAGGAAGTCCTGGGTTCAAATTCCACCTCTGACATGAGCTCACTAGGCCTCAGGCAGAATCCTTCCCTCCTCACCACCTCAGTACCTTCAACCTACAACATGGAGGATAATCCATTCATTCATTCATTCATTCATTCATTCATTCACAGCATTTCTACCCCGTCCTTAACAGCGTCTCAGGACGGCTTACAACATAATCGAACAAACAATAAATGAACAGAGAAGGTACAACCAACATAATGCAATAAAATAAGGTGGAAGGTGACTAAGCATGACAATAAAAGCAGTAAACTTTAAATATTAAAATGTCAGGCAAATAAAAAGGTAGTATGATAAAAATCACACCAATACATTTGGCAGGATTGTGAGCATCACAACTAGCGATGGCGTGCCAAGAGCTTTGGATGCTTGAACGTGCTATGCACATTGAAAGGGTTATTCTCGTTTCTGAGTACAGGATATGCGGTATCACGTTAGGTAATCTTGAAGAGGTTTGGCCAGAAATAAACCCGGCTGAGCATAACGGGCCCTGCTCTCAAGTGTGTGCAGGACTGCAGGCTGAGGAGGTCAAGTGAGCAATTTGATCAGCTAACTAAAGTGCATGACTTATTGCTAAAACTTTCCTCCTAAATGGAACGCTGGACGGTACCAAAGCGACGTCTGTTGAGAAATCACAGACCTGCCCACTAAGTTCTGCCTGACACAGATTGGTGGAAAGTGCTAGTCAAACCTGAATCGTTTCACAGAGGAACCACCTGAGTTCGGGAGTGAGTCACCAGGCTGCGAGCGCCCCAAGAGTGCCGGCGCGCACGTAAACTGGGGTTATTCCCATAAGCAACGGAGTGGTCATGAAAAGCACTTGACAACATCTGTTGCCCGTGGCTCTCAACATCTTAGCAGCCATACAACATAAGGGCAGGGACACTGACAGATCTCTGACAGGAACAGTAACGAGAAACAAATGAGTGGCTTTTGCAATTGCAGCAAACAAGCCATGGAATTTCCCAGGATATGCCTTGGGCTGGATGTGGTTTCTGATTCCAAAGCCATGTGCAGACTGGGACTGTGGAAAGCTTTGGGACTGGGAGGAGAGGGCTTGGGGGAAGAGGCCCTCTAGCCAGCGCAGAGGCTCAGAAACAGCCTCCACCGTGACAGATGGAGGGCACCCGTGTGCCCATCCACCATCCCCGACAGGACGGGCACAGGCACGCTCAGTCCCTGAGGCAGGGAAGTGCCGGTAACAGGAGGAGGAGTAATTCGGGGAGATGATGTGTCCTTGGGAGTCTAACTCCACCTCAGGACACCTTACCGAGGGAGCAATGGGGCGGAGGAACTGGGGCTCCCGGGTGCATCATTTGCAATTGCCCACTGGCTTTAACTATTGTACAGCCCAATTTCCTGACCACTGGTTCCTCTAACCAGCCTTCTTCTGGCTTCACAGCCCTGCCAAGTCTCTGTCTGCATGTTGCTCCTGCAGGAATTCCACTGGGATTTTCTTCCTGAAGCCTAGGTTCAAACGCCACCTTCTGCTAAGCTGCCAGCAACTGCCTAATATGGGGAGGAGCGGGGGCAGGAAAGAGAATTACAGCTCGCCCCGCAGAGCTGACCTGGCAATCCTAAGAACCCTTTTTACATAGCAGCATTTGTGTGCAGCTCGCAAGCTGAAGACGCAAGGCACAATACTCACTTGATCTCAGCACCCCACTGCTTCAAAGAGAAGTTAATGGCACTCGGCTGGCCCGGGGCAGGCTGGCAGGCAGCTTGCTCTCCCACCAGCTCTGTGGGAGCCGTCTCCACGGCCAGGACATTTCTGGCTATCTCTGCCGAGGAATTTGGTGGCAAGATATTCAAATCTGAGGGCAAAAACACACCGTCACTTATTAGCGATCCTAGTGAACACCCTGGCACTTGTGGAGCACATTGGCAGCAAGGAGGTTCCGGGGGGGGGGGGGGGTTGGATGTCCTGATCGCCACACCTGAAAAGCTCGACTCAAAGAGCCATCTGGCCTACCATGCTATGGGCAGTCCAGGATACCATTAATCCTTGGCCTCAGGGCCTAACGAGGCTGTGCAAATTGGCTTTAAGCTGCAGCACTGCATTAAAGCCGATAGAATAAAACAGACTGAGCCAACAAACGGCACTCGGCCAAGCTCTCATAAGAGATTCCTGCAAATACAGATATTCCAGCCCCTCGGTTACAATAGGAAACATTGAGCAAGTGTTTGAACATTATCAACAAGTAAAGAGGCTTCAACCAGCTTTAGGTAGCCTGGGATGTTCATGTTCGGGCGGGAGGGGCTGGCATGAACACAAGCCAGCTTAGGAACAGCAAGAAGTCTCTTCTTAATGTGCCGCACGTTCCGTTTCCTCCCGGTTTTCCTATTAGAGAGGCTGGAGCATGGAAGAGTGCTCTCGGCTTGCTTCTTCTGGCTCCTCCATATTATACCATATGAATCCGCCCAGCTCCCTCTGCAGACCTGCGGCTGATAGCCAGGGAGCGTCTGCGTCAAGGAGGCCTGACAGCATCCACCCCGCAGCCCTCCCTCAGCCGCAGCGATCACCAGTGAGGGTTCGACAGGCAGCTCTTCCCACCACCCCGTCCCCTGCTTGCGACATTCCAGCAAAGAGAGGCCTCTTGGAGCACTTCCACTCTTCCATCCCGCCGGGCCAACTGAAGCCTTCCTGGGACCCGCCGGGTTTTCCTGACACCTGCAGGTACTGCTCACATATCAGGCATCGCTCCAGTAACAAAACATAAACTCTGCTATCGGTTTCCAATTTGCATTCAGCCTCTGCAAGGCTTCACGTGTTGCTCAGCTGGGCAAGTTTAGAACTGTAGTTACACCTTCAAGGTTTTCCATTACAGCAGAGAAGCCTCCGTGTCCTGCTGAAGCGAATACCGGAACCACCACCCTGCCCCGGGAGAGCATCCGCTGTGCCCAGTGCGCAGTGCTGTGTCCAGGATCCAAACACACTTCACTACTCTAATAGAATTACACACAACAGAATGTAAAGCCACGTCACATCCGTACATTCTTTCCTCCAGTTCACAATCACCATGAAATCCACAGGAATGCCAAAGTGCTACTGGAACATTTACATAACTCAGAATCACAAGTATCACGCCGCAGACTGGAAGCAGCCAAAGTCGGCCAATGAGCCGTTATTCTAATTCCCTACAACCTAAAAAAGCAGTAAAATGGCAAAGGCTTAGAGCCATAGAAAGTTTTGTGGTCAGTGGAAAGCAACTGGGAACATGACTCTTCCGAGACCAGGGATCCATGTCTGTCTCCGGATATGGCTCACATGAGGTGCTTTCCCCGCATTTCTGATGGCTGCTTGGGCAGAGGAAACGAAAAGCAGCCCTGCTGACACCCAGCTGCAAGCCAAAGGGAGGGCACGCGGACTGGGGCAGAGCGGGGGGCTGCCGGGGCATGAGCATTTCCGGGGCTTCCCCCTTTACAGCGACACTGCACCCCACAAAACCCCACGAAACGAGCCCTCCCTCCACGGATCCCCATGGCGGCATACCGGCTTTGTCTCTGGCAACCAGCCCCTTGGAGGAGTCGCTCTGGGTCGGCGAAGTCCGGCTGGCCCTCTTCGCGGCATCGTGGCCACTGCAGTATTCCCACCGCTTCTGCTGAAGCTCCTGCAGCCAGTAGGTCATATCCTGGCGTGTTGCGGCCTGGGAAACAACGTGCAGAAGAGGCTGCCAAAGAGGGGTGCAACCACGGGGAGGGGAGGGTGCCCCTACAGACACGTTTTCTCCCCGGGACTACAGGAGCTCGATTTATTTATTCATTTAGAAAATTTCTATGCCGCCCCATTTGCCGACGCCTCGGGGCGGCTCACAAATATATCAATTGAAATATTATACAATAAAAATATAAAACGAGTTAACAATATAAAATAAGTCGCCCTGGCCGAAGAATAAAATAAATAGTATTAACAGTTAAAATGACGTTTGAATAAAAAGGTCTTCGCTTGGCACTGAAAAACAAGTAACGACGGCGCCAGGCGGACCTCTCTGGGGAGCGCATTCCATAGATTGGGCGCCACCACTGAGAAAGCCCTCCTCCGAGTACCTACCCTCCTAATTTCTTTCACGGAGGGTTCCCGGAGAAGGGCCTCTCCCGCTGATCTCAGGGGGTGGGGGGGGAGCATATATAGACGTAAGCGCTCCTTCAGGTAGCCAGGACCCAAGCCGTTTAGGGCTTTATAGGTCATCACCAACACCTTGAATTGGGCCCGGACTTCAATGGGAAGCCAGTGAAGCTGACGGAGGACTGGAGTCATGTGAGCATAATGCCCAGTCCCCGTCAACAGCCTGGCAGCTCTGTTTTGAACCAACTGAAGTATCCGGACCGTCTTCAAGGGTAGCCCCACGTAGAGCACGTTACAGAAGTCAAGTCAAGTTACAACAATTCTGACCTGTTGCAATATGGATGTTTTTCCATCAGCCACATAAAAATGCAGAGAACACGGCAATGATGCCTGGTAGTTGGTGCCCTTCTAGGCCCAGGATTCACACAGCTGGAAAGACCCCTGAAGGTTATCTAGTCCAGCTTCCTGCTCAACACAGGATGCAACTGCGGCATGCTTGAGACACAGGCACCCAGCCTTCACTTAGGTGCCATTCGTGAAGCAGCTCCCACAACCTCCTAAGGCAGCCTGTGCTGTTCAACTCGTGCTGTTCTGGAGTTTCTCCAAATAATTAGCCAAATCTGCTTTCCTGTACTTTGCATCTATTAGTTCCAGCCCTATACTTTGAGGCAGGCCTCTCCGAACTGGCACCCTCTAGCGGACTTGGTCTGTGATGCCCAGCACCATACCTGATCACTGGAGCTGATGGGACCTGAAGTCTGAAAGAAGTGGAGGGCACAAGGTTGCTCTGACAAACAGAGAACCAACTGGCACAGTATCTCTGGCAATGTAGTTCCCTTAATTCAGCATAGTATTATTATGCTATCAAGAGGCACAAATCTGGCTTTTCTGAGGCTTGTTACCTGCTCCAACTTTAAGCAATTTTGATCCACAAAAAAAGAACAATACTATTCTTATTAGCAGGAAAAGTATTTGTAAGAGAGACTCAAATCTCCCGTTCACACACAGAGGGGGAAACAAACAACGGACCCTGTCTATTGTGCAAACCACTTTTCACAACATGACTTGCATTTTTAAGGCTGCCTTTCCAGTTATACACCCATGTTTAAATGAAGGATGCATACAGCTTACGTTTTTCGCCTGAAAAAGAAAACAAGACAACAGGAAGACTTTTATATAGTGATCTGTTCAAGGAAGAGGAAATAGCTAACCACGACATGAACTGGAAGTTCATTTGTCTCTCTTTCACAGAAAAGGCAAGTAACGGCAGTAGCATTTCGACAAAAAAATCTTGCAACATCTTAAAGGCCAATGCATTGATTATGACATCAGTTCATAGGCATGAATTCATACTGTCAAATGTTAGAAATTATCTGGAAGCGACAGCACATGGCTGCTAGTGATGGGGGTGGGGAGTGTTTTTCTGACTCAATAGGAAAACTCCTCAACTTAAGAGGAAAATGCTGCCAAACAACTGCATTGCACCATATTTGACTAACGGCTCAGCCCTGTACACAGTGACTTAAAAGTTCTCTTGTGCCCAGTGAGGTGGATTCTCAAACATAAAAAGGCTGGAACTCAGTGGGCAAGTAAACGAGCATCACATCGCCGAGGACTTTGGCAAATGCACTTAAAAGCTTCTTACAAGAAGAGCTTGCTTCTAACTTCTAATTCTGGGCATTTAAGTATTTTCTGCTCCTCATGAGGAGGAGGAGCTGAAGCAACAAGGGGTTTGGCAGAAGCTGGCAGTGGCTCTGCGCTGCCTGCCCTGCTGCACCTGGCTGGAAGAGTCTTCCATCCTCAGGACCTCGGCTGGCCAGACCAGGACCAGAACCAGAACCAAGGGCTCTCCAAAGGAGGCAGCCCGGCCCCACTGACACCTCAGAAGGCTTTTCTGCAGTTGCAAGAAGGACTGCCCCTTTGCCTCTGGCTACCTGTCAGAGAACTGGGCCTGAAAGCATTTTGCACACCCAAGGTATTCTGGCCCCTTCCTCAGCTAAAAAGGATCCCAAGAGCAGCTTACAGGATAATTTTTAAAAGAGAGGCAGCCCCTGCCCTCAGGCTGACATGCAGAGGGCCGTGCAGTCAAAGGGTTGGCAGAGAAAAGCCATTCCCAAGGCAGTGGCACCGGCACAAACAGTCCGGACCCCGCTGTGCCAGACCAGGCAGGTGCATTGCACACACACGGCACAACCGCACACTAGAATGTTGCCTCCAAAAAACACAGAAAATGATCCATCACTTGAAGTTTCTCACTCATTCCTCACTGCTCCTATAACCCTGGACCTAGCGAGTGACTGGCTACTCCGTGACACACGCACCAACTATGAATAAGGAACGCATTTAGGAAAATTAAATCATGGGAATCTAAGCACAATGAAGTCCACATGAGGTCCGGCTGCTTTCTTCGAAGAGGGCCTCCTGTGCCTGCAGCAAGTTTTCCCTTGACAGGGTTAATTCAACAGGCATGGAACCAAAAGCATAAATTCAACACCAGGCCCTGCTGCAGGCTTCACAAAATCTATAGAACATATGGCTGAACTGAGCGTTTGGCAGCAGGCCACTTTCTAGACT